AAACTACTGCATAGAATTTTGCAAACTTTTTTTTATTTAAAAATTTTAGATTTAATTAATATTTTGTATAATTTTTAATTATATATCTTATTTATTTAGCTTAATATAAATTTTCAAAAAGTGTCCACAATGCTTTGTATATACCGAACCAAAACGTAATAATACATACATATTTCTAATCAACCTACATGTACATGCTTAATTCGTTACATATAATCCTTAATTTATATAATTTTACTACGTAATCACTATTTCCACCTCCCATATACTAAATCCCAAATACAAAATAACTATTACTCCAACAATTAAAAATTGACATACGTACGTAGCTTCGAAATTGTAAATTAAAGTACTTCATCGATATCGGTATGATTTTATCGATTAAAAAAAAAAAATTTCGTCAGATTTATTTTTATTAATTATTATATTTAACTTCCATTGCGATTATTAAAATCCACATATTGAAAATTAAACAACTGCTAAGCACTATATGACTTTTTCATGTACCTTGGCATTTCATAAAGAAATAAATTTACCATTGAAGTTCAGAAAATTCGTCAGTACCTAACGGTTCTAATTCGTTTGCTGAAAGCCATGTATCCAAAATTCCAAACTTGCTTCCAACTTGATATTAGTCGTAATGCTCGTCTATCCATTTTTAGATCAGAAATCCGAATATTTACGAGATCATCAGGCTTCAAATTTAACACACATTTCTTAATTTCATATCGTTTTTCCATTAATATTATAAATCATTTGACGATTCTGAATAACATGTCGATCTGCCACGATTATGTTTATCAGGTTTAGCATTCAATCTATCGATACTTAATTTAAAGACATTAAAAACCCAATACTTTAATTTCGAACTTTCATGTTTACTTCGACGCGTTTCATAAAATAGCCAGGCAACAATTATACTTTAAACAATCGTTATATGTCTTTCGTTTTTTCTATCGTTCATGTAGTCATTAACGATTTTTTGAAAGCTTGAAATAAAAGAAACAAAAAAACTAGCAAGAATTTGAAGCCATATTATAGAAGATAAAATAACAGAATTTTTTTTTTATAATCAATCTAATTTATTAAACTCTCATCTTAAACTTGAGTTTAATTGACTTACGTACGTACAGTACGTTACATATTAATCAATCTAATTTTTAAAACTACCTATCTTACATTTTAATCGGTATAAATTTTAAACTCAGGTACATTAACGGTTATTTAAGAGCAACGTACAACATTAATACTAGAATAATTAAACCAGCTGTAAAAAAAAACTAATTACCAGAATTTTCATCTTTTAGCGAATTTTTTTCAAAAATTTTTAAGATTTATTTTTACGCTGCGCATGACTGCTTCTCTATATCTAAATTAGATCGATAACGAGCATAAAACATGTATAACACAGCCTCATACATTTTTATAAGCCATATCCTATTCCGATTATATTTTTATGATGAGCTTAAGCCAAAATCTTTACAGGTATGCATAACGATAAATGATTTTATATATATATATACTCATCCTCATCATCTCAAATTTTTTTTACCAGAACCAGATATACATCATCCCTAATTCTCACTAGTGCTAAGTTTTTTTGTGTTGATAGAACAATCATCTAAGTTATTTGTACGTGTATACTTAGTTATGCAAAAAATTGTTGCAATAGCAACTAGGGCCTCTGACTAATGTATGTTATGAGACTCAACGGGCTCATAATCACTATTTGATGGCTCGGTACTTAAACAAGGGTGTTTTGTTCAGTCCGCAAACAAATTTATTCATAATCTAACATTTATACAATAACATTATTAATTAACCCTCTTTACATTAAAGAGTTTACAAATTCAAGAAAAGCCAAACGAAAGTAACGAAAGTAGATACAGAAACTTTATCAGTTTGTTTTGTTTATAAAAATATATATTAAAATTTTCATAACAAAATTGTCTAACTAATAACTCACCCTCTACAATACATACCAAAAGTACTTACATACATAAAATATTTAATATACGTACACTTATTAATTAACATCTGCTTTACTTAAATTAGAAAGTGGAATCGGTGAATAATTATTCGGCATCAATCGAAAATTTCGAGCATCGAAATAAACTTCATTCATAAGTTTTAATTCGGTCAATCATCGAACTTCGGTCAAAATTAAAATTTTGCAATAGCAGTATAATTGATAAATTTAAAAACGTAGCATTAGCAATGCAATTGATAAATTAAATGTTACACAATTTTCTTTTATGTTTTTAAAAATTCATCGAACATTCGAACATCGGTCAAAATTTTTTACCGATTCTCGAAGTTCTAGAGTTTGTAATCAACCAATGCTCGAAACTCATTGATTCCACTCTCTAATTTAAATTCTTTTTTTCTTTTTTTCTTCGACGAATTAAAATCACAGTAATTTACTTACTAAACCTAAACATTTTTTAGTTATGACTACGTATTATATATTTATTATATATATATCTAATATATCACATATAACCTACATTTCTTTACAGACGTATAAGTTACTCATAAATCTACTACACCCATACTTGATAAATAAATTTAATACACTACCATTCACCTGCTATTCGCTTTTAATAATAAATCTATATAAAATCGCTATAAAACCATTAAACTACAATTACTCCTTGTTAACTAAAAAAGCTTTAACAATACCCTATACCAACCCTAACATAAAAAACCCCAACTCATCACTTGTGCTAACCCTAACTATAAACTAACTATCTATAAAAATTAAACTTTTTATATCATATACATTCCTACTCTACAACTATACATACAAAATACCCTTCACTTAAACATTAGTTGCTCACTGCATCTGCATCCTCTTGACGCGAACCTTGTTTCTTATTATATAAGATCCCGCGATAAGAATGGGACCTAAAAAGGCTATAAAGGCAATGAGTATAATGTTCTTTATCAGTAGTTTTATCAAAATTCATATGTCACAGGAACTTGGAATTCCCAGATTGTCAGATCTAAACCCACCTTAAGCAATCGTCGAATCTAAGGGGGTTAAGTTTACCAGAAAAAATAACAAAATAGGCTCAGTGTTTGGAACTTATGACCGAGCGGAGTTGCTTTGTTAAGTGTGGTATGGTATTGTGTTAGGGTAACGTAATTACTAAGCTTGTGATTTTTCTTCTGACAGGTTCTCTAGATCTAACGAATGTGAAGTATAAAAATAAGCATGTTTCCACCTTAAGATAAGTTAGCAATAACGTTATTTTTTTGCTCATATATTTTTTTCTTGATTCTCTTGCACCGTATTTTTTAGGTAATTTGCTATTTCGTTTATTGGAGACTATGAAAATGAATTTTTTACTTACTATGATTTTTTTGTTCTTAGGAACGAAAAATAAGCAGTACTAATAAAACTACCACCCCCACAACTAATAACACCAACACCACCCCCAAGACTAATGATGCAACCACCACGAGTAATAACACCACCACCTCCATGACTAATGATAGTAACACCCCCAAGACTAATGACGCAACCACCACGAGTAATAACACCACCACCTCCATGACTAATGATAGCAATGCCCTCACGACTAATGATTCTAACGCCTCAGGGGTTGTTATCCCAGTAGGTTATGTACCTAGAACGTATAGTCCTAGATCTTGTAAGTAAAGTTTACATTGTGTAAATACAATCACCAGGGACTTAGTTTTCTTTTCTATTCAAAATAGATCATATTTCCGATAAGCCAATTTTGCATTATTACGGATATAGAGATAAGGTTGACCATTCTCTTGATAGTTATATCTGGTGATGCCGATTGTAGTGATCAGGATGATTATGATCCTTAATGAATAATCAGAAAAAAATTTATTATTTATTTTTTATTTGTATGTTATATTGCTGTTCGGCAACAATTTTTTATGAAATAAAGAGGGGGTCCGCTGGGCTCGTCATTTTTTATTTTTATGCGATCGTGTAAATAAGTATTGGTCACTATTTATACTGTTATTTAGATTTTTATTAATGTTAAACCATGATCTACTAATGATGTTTATCTAAGCCTGCAAAGCAATTAATAACTTCTTTTGATCAATACGAAAGGGGCAATTAAGAAAATAGTAATTATTTTTATCTAGACAGCTCCAGTCGCCCCATATACCTAAACGAGTATGTACTTCTTTGCATATCGGACATTTAGCTTCCGGATCTGTATATTTAAAAACATCTCGGTACCATGCATTCGATTTAGTATATGACAAGAAAGGGAAGCGTTTATGTATTGTTTCACAGATTATACCTTTCTCTTCCGGAAACTTGGAAATCTTGATAATGCAATCTTGTGAGATATAATTACTCTCTTCAATTTGTGAGGTTTTGGAGTTTATCCAGGGATCGAATCCAGTTTTATTCTTATACCTTTTATATAACCTAGAACGAATTTTATCCGTCAAAATACCTGGCAATTCTATTAATTTAGCTTCCCATTCCAAATATTCAGGAGTCAATGTTTTATTAGCTTTTGCCTGTGTATTCATGTTCTCGTTTTATATATATGACTGCACATCTTTCTAAATTAACAATAACCAACAAAAAAACAAATATGGCTCAGAAAACTTAAGCGAATTGTGCTAGTATAAGTTTAAAGCTCATGCTGTTACCTCAATTTCAATTCCACGCTGTTCACATTTAATATAGTAGGATCCAACTTTATATCTGCCTTCTATTCCATCTTCGTCATGATTTAACTTACATAATGGACATAATGATTCATCAGTAATTCCGTAATAATCTTCGTTTTCACTACTACTATCTCGATATAAATTAGGATATTGTTTTAATGTTTTATTACAGAAATAGGTACGATCACAAGTTGGATTAATCTGTTTTCTAGGTAGGGTCTTTGTCTCGGGTGGCGACATGAATGACATACTCGCCTCAGTTTTCAAGTTTGAAGAGGCATCAGATGCTTGAGGTTTAACTGGCATACTAATCTTGGTTTCCGATAAAATCTTTGTTTTTGAGTCAGAAATTTGAGATTCAGTCGCTGGTAGATTACATGCGTGTTTGCAATTGTTCACGCCAATCAATTTTTGAAACTTGGCAAGTTCATCTGTGTAAACTTTTATTATATTTTGAACTTGTGTATCTGTTAGCCTAGAAATAGCATCAGCACTATATGTGATTAACCCGATTTTGTCTATACCTATTCCTTTAAACAAAGTATAAATGTTTTTAGCCTTTTGGATCATCTTGCGTAAATACTCTCTCTTAATACCAGGTAGATATGGCACCATCTCATCGTAAATTTGTGTTCTTGCCATTTGATCGCTAATATTGTTTTCCAAACTAATAGTTTTGACCTTTTTTTGTATTCCTCACTATAGTAATACCATTGTAATTTTTCCTTTCTACTAGTTTTTTCAGCCTTATTGAATAAATGTGCTAGGTAAGGTGTGGTACCTATAGTTAAATCACCCACATATGTCATATTTTTCTTAAATAAATCAAAAATTTGTTTTCCAGATATAGAATACGAATTTTGTGGAATTGTGGCATCATTGCTCCTAATGAATTCAAGCAATTCACTTATTAAACCTCGTTCTACTTTCTGATTATAGGGAATTTTTATTTCGGAAGAAATATTAGGGATAGTATCCTGGGAAGTTATGAATTTCTCTTGATCTCGAAGTTTTTTCTCCTTAATATTTTGAATTATCTTTTTACTAACCGTTTCTCTATACTCTGAATCTAGGAATTTGTCAATTGCTTTGTCTTCCGGTGATTTGTCATGGTAATGGCGTTGCTCTGCAACAGGCCCTGAATAAGAAAGTTTTATTTCAGGATTAGAATCTTCAGCTGGAAGCTGGCTCACGTCATTATTGGTAGAAGGTGGATGAGAGGACATCAATTCTTCTGAAGTGTCTTGTCTCCCCGAAGATACCTCTTGATCTCGAAGTTTCTTCTCTTTTTTAACCCTTTCATTAAATATTGAGTCATGAAATACATCCACCTCCTTGTCCTCTGATGATTTAGCCTCTGTGCGAATAGGTGATGCGGGATATTGGGACGATGACTCCTGGCATACATCAGAATTTGAAGTGTTA